AAGTACACGAACAAGCCACCTCCTAGTTGGAGCTGCACTTCTATAATATATATGCGCCGTATATGACAACCTATTGCGTGGAACTTACTTTAATCTGAACTTTAATCATTTATCGTAACGTGCAGGTGCCGCTATTAATGTCCTGTCGCGGCCACAACTTACGAATATATCAAGTTGTTAACCTAAATGGGTTAATGCGTAAATATAAACATTCAAGAAAATGGTCTTGTCTTTCATTCACATTTGGTCAGACCAATTGAAAAATCACTTCGTTACTTCGGCTATTTCCCCCAATGTTCAAATATAGTCTGCCGCCATCTATGGTCTGGTGTAATCCTTAATTATTCTCCGAGTGAACCTGACAATTACCGGAAGTGAATTTCATTGACCGGGCGCCGATCGAATGAATATGTGCCAAACATATGAGAGTTCTCTTACTAGATGAATTTGCCATGAAAAAAAGTTGCTGAACGCCGAGATCAAGTTTTGGACAGCGATATTGACAAACAGAGGTCTGCTAACTTGACTATTTTTGGGTCGGATATACCCCGTCACGCCCTCAGTGCTACCTCGTTCACCTATCCAAATGCCACAACAAAATTAGAACACATTTTTATAAGGCGTGACTGCAGCGATAAACCTGCCCCTCAGATATTCCGTCTTTTTTGCGGAACTTCTAAATCAGCCGCCACAACATCCGCCCTTGTTCTGTGACTACCCTACTGCCCTCTCGCGGCAATATTATTTGCATTTGCGTGCCTCCCCCCTTCCAGCCTGCCCGCCTTAGCTGCCGCAATCTGTCTTGGCTGCTGCGTGATTAAGGGGGGTGAATACAATTGCGTCATATACAGTGCCCTCCTTTTCCACTGCCTTTCGCTGACTGCGTCCGGCACCACTCTGTCTATCGCTGTGTAGCCGTTAGTGGGGTGACAGTGTTCGGTAGGCAGCACGTTTATGATGAGAACACACAAACTACATCATAATAGTATATCTAGGCCTATTTAATATATAGGCCTAAGGGTTAGGGTTGAGGGTCAGGGTATTAAGCCACGCACATTTTTTACACTTTTCATGTGTTGGCATTCTCTGACCTTTTCCGTGTTCTTTCTCGCTTTTGCGGTGCACGCTGACGTCACACCGTCTTTCCACAGACACACACAGAGACATACACACACACGACGACACACGCACGCACTCACGCTCGCACGCACTCATTCCCGCACGTACCCCACACACAGCACTCGACATGAGTACCCCCATCGGCATCGAAGAACGGCGTAACGGACGATATGCCACTTCTGTTACTTGCATCCTGTTATACTTTTCCCGCAATTTTCCTATGTGGTCTATAAATGTGACTATGCAATCATACTACGTCCCATACCATCTATCACGCACAACACACACACACGCAAGACGCACACATATAGACACGTCATGTTCATTATGCAGTCCAGCTCTTTTCTTCGCTCCATGTGGCCATATAGTACTATGCGATACGTGCTACGTAGATACAAGACACCCATATTCATTCAGTCACTCGTCCCATACCATCTGCATGGGCTGCCAACTATAAATTCGCATCTCTAGAGTGTCTGGCTCGCACAGCTTTTCTATCCATACAGCGTCGCGCATTGAGTCGCAAAGACTTGCCCACTTCCCAAGTGGTATACGTACCTATACGGCACTTTCTCGCCAACATAAGGATATGATTATCATATATTACATCCTACTCCGATCTCACCATCCGATGTCAATGTGTGTGGTCAGCAGGCGGTCGTTTTATATACATGCATAGGGCAAGTCACGCAGTCGCCAGAGTCGCAGGCAGTTTGCTATATATATATATGTGTGTTTATGTTTTGCGACATGTGTGTATCAGCATCTACTACTTATATATATATATATATATTATATATATAAGATATATCTACTCTATCTCTGTATATATCGACAAGTCGCTTAGGTGTTGACAACAGTAGAGCGTGTCCATAGGCTGCACGCCATGAATAAGCATCAAACAGATATTAATTAAAAACTGACGCACACTGTTCACTGCGCTTACAAACATACACTTTATTCGGTTAAATAATACAAGTTCATCCTCTCATGCTCCGCTCGAACTTTTGCAGCTCGTATGATGCGAATTCTGCAAGTTTGTCTGAACATTTCTACACAACACAACACAACCGGGTCCCTGTGGCTAGCCAGCCTGACGGATGTCACGAATACACAACAAGAAATTTTACTTCTTAATGCTTTCTAGACTCCAGGCATCTAACTTGCGGCATAATGGCCAAATTATTGCATCTAGTGACCGATTCGGCGGGAAAAAATGCCAAAAAGGCCTTTTCTAGAGACGAGATGTGCAACGTGAACAATTGCGGAAGCTTACTGTTGTACACCCATATAGCACAGTGCTTAAACATAGTTGGCGCCCTTTTTGGCAGAAACATCGGCTTTTATTGGACCCATGTTTCTCATCTTTGGCGCCGCGACTTTGTTGAGAACGCTGCACCAGAATCATGAATCTCGCCCGCCACCATTTGTCTCATTCCGGCTGTGACTCAATATCGCAATCGACGAACAAGTTTGTTTTTATTTAAAAAATCTTACTTTTGTGGTTTTAAGTTTTTAACTTTTGTTTTTCACATATTTTTTGTAACTTGTGATTGTTTAACTTTTACATATTTTTTAAATGTGCCGTGCCTTAAGTACCTCTATTATGAGTATCAATAACTGCATCGCGAGTATTTTCCGTTTCGGAGTTTTCCATGTCTCAATGTGTGAGCCTGCGCAGAGTAACTGGCCGGTTTAAACAACTGTAACACTAAACGTGGGATGGTATGATGGGTTGGTCGCCGGGCAGACCTTACTCCCAAAACTCGACTCCGTTTCTGACTAAACCCTAACCCTAACCTCACGATACCTACCCTAACCTTAACCCTATAAATTAATTCACACTAATACATTTAATTTGAAACAAACCATCACCTCTCGCAGGTTAACGCGTGGCCGATACCGGATTTCATTATGGCCGTAGCAGGGAGTAATGTCTCCCTTGTGCAAAACATCGATCTGCTGTGAGAATTAGAGTCTTTACTGTGCAATTAAGAGATACATTCTGCTTAGGAGCAGGCAAAACTGTGAGTTAACGTTCATATTTCAAGACAGGGCCAGTCAAAGATGGCAATTAGAAATAGTTTTATGTTGAGATATACAGGAGTTATTCATCTAGATCTTGCTGAGGTGATAGGTTGTTTGATTATGGAAGGGTGTCAGGCTGATTAGGACAATCAGTCGGCACAAGCTCGTCGGGCCTAAGTAGTTCGTACTACTCTCAGTACTGTATCTTTCTACCCATGCATGCCACATTTTTACATCCTTTCTGTTTTTATATTTTCACAGCCTGTTACATTTCTGCAGGCATTTAAATAATGACAGTTGATGCTTAAGATAAAATTTCAACCATGGCACAAGCAACACTGCGCTTTCAAGTATTAAGCGGTTGTATTTTTGCAGTGGACTCAGAGCACTGCGGGTCCTTATATTGGTAGGTGTCAGCATAATGGTAATATACTATATATGAATTGTTTTACGCGCCAGTGAATGTTAAGGGCATAATTAATTATCAGTGCATGTACTATAAACCACCAGTTAAAGCGTATTTGTGAAATTACAATGCACCCTTCTGTTTTTTGAGATAGACACGGCCGCAGACCCCACTAGTGGCACTAGACTAGTGCCACTACTAAATGGGGTCTGCGTCGGCTCGAACTAACGTAGTCTATAAACCATCACTGATTTATCATCTAGTAAAGAATACCTAGAACAAACACTTTTCCCACTTTAACCTATATTGCTAGTATAGGGACCTTTGCTTAATTTTGAGTATAAATCGTGTGCAATGCGCAGTGCAGTGACACAGCGTTTTGTCACTTTTGATACCATCTCATGATACTGCAGAGTACGCGCCGGCGATGACTATTAGTATTACTACTCTAAAAATAATACTACTAAACCTACATCTTCAAACCCTGGTACGGCAAACTCGTTGTGAATTGAGACATTGCTAAAGTCTTCGGTAATAGAGTCAACTGGCTCTGAAGGCCAGCATTTGCTGCTATTAAGGTAACTGTTTAAACGACAAACTTCTTCTAGTGCCATTTTCGTAACAACTGTCGCCCTCTTTTGTTCAATATACTAAATAATAAACACTTACCATCGGGGTACGAGGGCGCTTATATCGCAGTTTAAGAAGAGAGCATTCAGATTCCACACGCGAATGCGCCCATCTTCCTTTTTAGTATCCGCCACTGTGTCGTTAGTGGTGCGGATTATAAGTTCATAGAAGTTTTGACTGAAACTGGGTTTTCAGTGACAATTAGGTAATATTTCTATATAAGGTTAAAGTACAACTGTCTGACTGTGATCATGTTTAGATTGTTAAGAGTCAGCAATTAGCAGTAGCTGTGTTTTAACAACTTCAATTGGAGCGTTTTCTGTTACGTATTTACGTCGACGATAAGCTTACCATGTGTTATCGAGGTATCATCATTAGCTCATCTGACATAGTCAGATGGAGCTTGTAGAATCGCATGATCGTCTGTCCGTCCGTCCGTCCGAGCGTCCGTCCGTCAACAGTTGGGCACAAATCTTAACCGCTCGACGTACGGTCACGATATTCGGGACGTGGGGGGGTAATCCGAAAACGAGTTGGGATAATATTTACACTGTATTATCGCAAGATGAATGTTTGGCATCTACAAATTGATGATTATATTATACACGCTAACATCATCAGGCCTAACACTAGAGATGAAAGATCTTCATGAAGTCGCCATTAAAAAAATGTCTGAACATGAGTTTCTTTTTTTCTGACAGTATGCATTTAGAGTTATTTATTAGAATGCAGTAGCACAATGACAACACTGGTGTAATTTTTTTACCAACCATCATGTAGAGAAAGGCAATAAACTGAGTACTCATTACCTTAGTGGCCACTCACAATGATCTGACAGAAAGGATGCTTTAATTTGTATAATATTTTTTGCATGAAAAAAACTCGGATTACAGTGATCAAAGGAGTTAAGTCGTTGCTTTGTTACAGCATCAGATAGGTGATGCTGTTTCAATTAGTAGTACGACTATGCATGTTTCTTCAGTTTCTCCTCCTGATACTTGAAGTGCAGGTCCATGACATCATCCTGTGACACTTTAACCCAGCCGGTCTTGCGCATGTGGTACACTGAAATGCCAAAACAAACATTTCAGTACCGTGCTATAGTAATGGCCCAGCTTTCTGCTATAAGAAACAAGCCATGTAACAGCTTCAAAAATATATATGGCCAGTAGTAAATAAAAACAAATGTTTCAGTCGCGTGGGGCATGTTCATTACTGTACGTATTCGTAAAAACAAGGAGACTCCAACTTCAACTTATGCGATGGAATTAACACAGGTTTAAAACCATTGGGACTAGAATTCTTCTTTGATATAGCCAAAATCCGACTTGTGAATTTCGACTTGGGCAAAGATTTATTAAAGTAAAAACATAAGGAAATATCGGGACTTTTGTGGAGCTTCGACTTGTGCGATGTTGAATGTATATGTTCACCAGGTTACCGGCCTTGTCTCTATGTAGTGATGGATAACCGAAATTCATTCTGATCACCTAAAGGGAGGTTATGCCAATACCAGCAGTTAGTTTCTGATAAGGAACCCTATTCTCTGCGGATATAGTTCCTTTTGTTTCCTGCGCTGCTAGAAGAATGTGCAATTTAAGTCCCTGATAGACTTTAAGCGCTGTCTGCTCATAATCTTGTATGTTCGTTGTTGATTACAGTAGGCTTATGAGCATCATCAACCTGCTGTGGGTGCCTCAGTTACACCAAGTGTCACCTACGTCCCAGCATCCAAACTTTAAAGCTGGCTTCTTTAGTCTGTTTCCATTTCCACTGCAAGCTTGTTTACATTGCTGTGTTTTTGCCAAGTGTGTTAGTCACAGTACAACTGCCAGCTGTAGAGTCCCAGTCGTCTTACTCTAATGAAGCAGGTGTACTGTGGCTGACCAGCACCTTATTAACTGCTGCTCAGTTGTGAGAGGGCGGTAATACGTTGGTATGTTGCGTTCAATCATCTATATCAGATACCCAGGTTATTTTCAACAGAGTTTTTTTTTCGCTACATAACATATAATACATTGATATGCATGGATAACATCATTTTGATACTGTGTCATATATATGATTTTTTTATGTACCAACCCCAGTAGATCACAGCAGCAGCAATCGCCTGCAACAAACAGAAGTTGGTGTTCCTCTAAACACTTACGGTTGACGACACCACCACTGTAAGCATCGCGGTGTGTGGCGTGATAGATGGCCCTGCGGGCGAGATCAATGGCATCGTCCACGCTCATGTCATAGCTGTAGCCACTGTCTAACACGCCATATGCATACGTTGAGCCAGATCCCACAGAGAAAATATCGTTGGTGAGCCTGGTACCATCACTGTCCACATAGTACAGACCGGGGCCCTGTGTAACACAAATCACCAGCACACCATTCTTCACTGACCAACCATGATCGTGAAAACTTATTACCAGAGAATATTCGAAATTTTTTTTAATTGTGACATTTAAAATTGAAATTTGCCTATGCTAACACAAACCCAGATAGTGATAAATCTTACAAACAATAATAAGAACTTCATCATGAAAAAGTAAAAAAAAATTACAGTAGCTTCAATTCTGTTTAAAGGGATACTCTAGGATTTTACTGCATACAACTGTACTTACTATATAACAAATCGTCTATAGTACCCACACGTATTTGTTACCAGATACCTAATTTAATTGTTATAATTAATTACACATCAACGCTACGAAATTTGAACGGCGCCATGACACCCGCAACCGTGCTGCCACCCCGAAAAAGTTGCGTATTTGGAAATTTATTTTGCACGTTACAGACTGAGGGCTAATCACAAAAGTGCAATTATATTTATACCTAAATGCTATTTAACTCAACGATATTCATTTTAGGGCAAATTTATCCATATTATAACTGAAACTATATGTCGTTTTTAAGATATTACAATTCTTTGGCTTTTAAATTAATAAATAAGAAACACCCTCGGTCTGTAGCCCTTGGCTGAAAAGTGGTTTTGCGCAACTTATCAGATCGTGCGCTTTGAGTGGCGCCACCGTCGTTGTAATCAAACTGTAGTCGTTAGTTTTAAAACATTTTTTAATAATATTTCTAATGGTGATTGAACCATGAAACTTTTTATGTAGCGTAATTTTAACCTAGAGTAAAAATTAGAACCTAGAGTAAACGATCCCTTTAACTCGTTATTCTTAGAATTGCTACTTTCACACCAACTCTGCACCAATTCTTTCTCATTACAAAGCACAAGTTCCACAACAGTGTTAAAAATTCCAATGGTCCGGAATCCAGCTACCGCTGAATAATGCCCATCGGTGTTTTTCTATGGTAAAGCAAGCTACAATTTATTATTAAAAATAAATACTTTGCAGAATTTTACAATTTGTTAAATTTGTTATCTTCTTTACATACTTGTTTGTCCCATCCAACAATCATTGTGCCCATGGAAAGTCCCATTCCTTTGTAACCATATACCATATTTGCCAATAGCTTAGAAGCTGCAGCTACAGATATGATCTCCTTGTTCCGAAGCTCATATATTCTGAAAGATAATAAGATATGCATTACATAAATAGGATGGTATCATAAAGTACATCTCTTTTTTTAACCACGAGTACTTAATAACTATAAACAACCCAAAATACTTTGAAAGGTTTTTATCTTGATAATCGGGTTACTCGCATTCTGCTGAGTAATTTCATGGTTGTGCTCACCTGCATTGCTTCGCCAGAACTCGTTCCCAGAAAGAACAGTCTGCAGCACCACCTGCCATAGTTCCGAGGAGATATGGGTTGATCTCAATGACTTTCTTCACTGTCTGAGAAGCTGGAAAAGTTAGAGTGTATAAATTCCCCAATGTTTTGGAAAGAAAAACAAAGTAAAAAAAAGAATGGTTGCATGTAATTTCACAAATACGACTTTAACGGTGGTTCTATAGTTACATCATGATAATTATATATGCCTAAACATTCACTGCGCTACAATTCATTATTAGTATATTACCATTAATGCTAACCTACCAATATAAGGACCCGCAGTGGCTCTGGAGTCCACTGCAACAATACAACCATGCTTAAACTTGAAAGCCAGTGTTGTTGTGCCATGGTTGAATTTTATCTTTACATCACTGTCATTATTTGTAAATCCTTGCAGAAATGTAACAGGCTGTGAAAATAAAAAACAGAAGGATGTAAAATGTGGCATTGCCATGGTGTATAAATATACAGTACTGAGGGTACAGAGGACTACTTAGCCCGACGAGGCTGTGCGACTGATTGTCTAACAGCCTGACACCCTTCCATACAAAAAACCTATCACCTCTGCAGATCTAGATGAATAACTCTGTATATCTCAAATAAAACTATTCTATTGGCATCTTTGACTTGCCTTGTTTGAAATATGAACGTTAACTCACAGTTTTCCTGCTTCTAAGCTAGAATGTATCTCTTAATTCACGGTATAATCTGCTAATTCTCACAGCATATCGATTTTTGCACAAGGGAGACATTACTCCCTGCACCGGCCATATGAAATCTCGGGTATCGCGCTTCGCGTTAACCTGCGAGAGGTGATGTTTTTTTTAAATGAAATGTATTAGTGTTAATTAAATTTAATTAGGGTTAAGGTTAGGGTTAAGGTTATCGTTAGGGTTAGGGTTAGGGTTAGTCAGAAATGGAGTCGAGGTTGGGAGTAATGTCTGCCCGGCGACCAACCTCAGCATATCAACTTTTGTTTACAATTGTTTAACCGCCATGTTTACTCTGCGCATGCTCAACAATTGAGACATGGAAAACCCGAAACGGAAAAGACTCCGTGATGCAGTTATTGATACTATAATTATAGTACTTAGGCACGAGCACATTTAAAAAATATGTAAAAGTTACAAAATCACAAGTTACAAAAAATATGTGAAAAACAAAATTAAAAACTTAAAAACAAAAGTATTTTTTTAAATAAAACAACTTGTTCGGTCGATTGCGGATTTTAGTCACAGCCGGAATGATAAAAATGGTGGCGGCGAGTTCATGATTTTGGTTGCATTCGTCTCAAAAAGTCGCGGCCCAAAGATAGAGAACATGGGTCCCAATAAAAGCCGATGTTTTCTGCCAATAGATGGCGCCACTATGTTATATACACTGTGCTTCCGCAATTGTTCACCGTTGCACTATTTCGTCTCTAGAAAAGGCCTTTTTTGGCATTTTTTTTCGCCGAAATAGAGTGCAATAATTTGCATTATGCACGCAAGTTAGATGCCTCGTGGACGTCTAGAAAGCATTAGAAGTAAAATTATTCTTGTTGTGTATTCGTGACATTCCTTCAGGTGGCGTAGCCACAGGGACCGGTTGGTGTTTTTTGTGTATGAAATGTGTTCAGACAACTTTGCAGAAATTCGCATCATAGAGCTGGCAAAAGTTTCGAGCGGAGCATAGAGGATGAATCTGTAGTTATTTAACATGAATAAAGTGTATGTTTTGTAAGCGCAGTAACAGTGTGCGTATTTTTAATTAATTTCTGTTTGATGCTTATTCAGGCCTGCAGCTTATGGACGCCCTCTACTGTTGTTCAACACCTATAGCGACTTGGATATATACAGAGATATATAGATATATTTATATATATATATATATGTATATGCTGATACACACATGTCCAAACATAATACACACATATATATAGACTGCCTGCGACTCTGCGACTGCGTACTACGTACTTTCCCTATGCATGTATATAAAACCTCTGCGACCACACACATTGACATGCGGATGTGTGAGATGCGGAGTAGGGATGTATATATGATATATATATCCTTATGTTGGCGAGAAAGTGGCGTATAGGTATGTATATACTTGGGGAAAGTGCTTGCGACTCATGCGACCGATGCATGGATAGAAAAGCTGTGCGACCAGACACTTTGAGATGCGAATTTATATATGATATATATATCCTTCTGTTCCCGAGAACGGCATATATAGGTATGTATATACTTGTGAAGGTTTGGAAGTGTAGACGCAGTGGCGTCAGCGTATGAATATAAATCCTTGCGACGGCACAGAATCAGTGCGGATGTATATATATATTCATAGATATACGGTCGCTGCGCAATCAGAGTAGCGATAAGGCGGCTAAGCGATGCCACATGTTGCACCCATATGTTTGTATGGAACGAGCGAGCGAGCGAGCGAGCAAGATTACGTACTACAGCAAGGCGCATTTGAATAAACGAGCGGCAGGGGGGGGGGAGTAGGTGGTGTGCAATGCATATACATGACGTGTCTATATGTGTGTGTGTGTGTGCATGTGTGCGTGCGTGCGTGCGGGTGTGGGTGCGGGCAGGCGGGCGTGGAGGCGTTGCAGCCATCAGATGGTATGGGACGAGTGATGAATGAATATGGGTGTCTTGTATCTACGGAGCCACGTAGTACGATAGTACTATAGCCACATGGTAGCGAGAAAGATGCGTGTACTGCATGAATGAACATGACGTGTCTATATGTGTGCGTCTGTGCGTGTGTGTGTGTGCGTGATTAGATGGTATGGGACGAGTTATGATTGAATAGTCACATTTATAGACCGCATAGGAAATATTGCGGGAAAAGTTATGACAGGATGCAAGTAACAGAAGTGGCATATCGTCCGTTGACGCCGTTCTTCGATGCCGATGGGGGTACTCTATGCGGAGTGCTGTGTGTGTGTGTGCGTGCGGGCATGAATGCGTGTGTCGTCGTGTGTGTGTATGTCTCTGTGTGTGTCTGTGGGAGACGGTGTGACTGTCAGCGTGCATGGCCGAAACGAGAAGAACACGGGAAAGGTCAGAAATGCAACACATGAAAAGTGTTAAAAATGTGCGTGGCTAATACCCTGACCCTCACCCTAACCCTTAGGCCTATATATTAATATAGGCCTAGATATATATTTACTAATGTAGTTTGTGTGTTTCATCATACCGTGCTGCCTACGAACACTGTACCCCACTACGGCTACACAGCGATAGACAGAGTGTGCGCGCAGCAGCGAAAGGCAGCTGGAAAAGGGAGGGCCACTGTATATGACCACTGTATTCACCCCCCTTACGCCGCGCAGCAGCAAGACAGATGCGGCAGCAAGGCGCAGCTGGAAGGGGGGAGGCACGCAAATGCATAATATTGCCGCGAGAGGGCAGTAGGGTAGTCACGAACAATGGCGGATGTTGTGGGCGGTGATTTATGAGTTCCCAAAAAAAGACGGAATATCTGAGGGTGCAGGTTTATCGTCTGCAGTCACCCTTATAAAAATTGTTCTAATTTTTGTTGTGGGCATTTGGATAGGTGAATCGAGTAGCACTGAGGGCGTGACGGGGGTATATCCAACCCAAAATATCAAGTACAGACCTTCTGTTTGTCAATATCGCTTTCCGAAAACTTGATCTCCGTTTCAGAACTTTTTTTCATGCAATAATTCATCCTAGTAAGAGTAACTTCTATATTTTTGGCCATATTCACTTCGATCGGCCAATGAAATTCACTTCCGGTAATTTCAGATTCACTCGGAAATAATTAAGATTAACCGGACCATAGATGGCGCAGACTATATTTGAACATTGGGAATAGCCGAAGTAACCGGAAGTGATTTTCATTGGTTGACAAATGTGAATGAAGACATACCATTTTCTTTGGATGTTTATATTTACCATTAGGTTAACAACTTGATATATTCGTATGTTGTGGCCGCTACCAGGACATAATAGCGGCACCGCACGTAGATAAATGATTAAAGTTCAGATTAAAGTAAGTTCCACGCAATAGGATTGTATATATCGGGCGCAATATATTCTAAAGTGCACCTCCAACCTGGAGGTGGCTTTCGTGATTGAGATAGACACGGCCGCAGACCCCCACAGTCACTAGTGCCACTACTGGGGTCTGCGTCGGGTTCGGACTAACGTAGTCTATAACCATGCACTGATTATCATCTAGTAAAGAATACCTAGAACAAACACTTTCCCACTTTAACCTATATTGCTAGTATAGGGACCTTGCTAATTTGAGTATAAATCGTGTGCAATGCGCAGTGCAGTGACACAGCGTTTTGTCATTTGACTACCACTCATGATACTGCAGAGTACGCGCCGGCGATGACTATAGTATTACACCTAAAAATGAATACTACAAACTACATCTTCAAAACCCTGGTACGGCAAACTCGTTGTGAATTGAGACATTGCTAAACTTCGGTAATAGAGTCAACTGGCTCTGAAGGCCAGCATTTGCTGCTATTAAGGTAACTGTTTAAACGACAAACTTCCTCTAGTGCCATTTTCGTAACAACTGTCGCCCTCTTTTGTTTCAATATACTAAATAATAAACACTTACAATCGGGACGAGGCGCTTTTATCGCAGTTTAAGAAGAGAGCATTCAGATTCCACACCCGAATGCGCCCATCTTCCTTTTAGATCCGCCACTGTGTCGTAGTGTGCGGATTATAAGTTCATAGAAGTTACTGAAAACTGGGTTTTCAGCGACAATCGGTAATATCTATATAAGGTTAAAGTACAACTGTCTGACTGTGATCATGTTTAGAATTGTTAAGAGTCAGTAATTAGCAGTAGCTGTGTTTTAACAACTTCAATTGGAGCGTTTCTGTGATGAATTTACGTCGACGATAAGCTTACCATGTGTTATCGAGGTATCATCATTCGTTTGCCCGTTTATTTAAGTAGTTTCTTAAATATCAAAATGGTTTTTTCATAAAAGGCGCGCATTGTCATCAAAAGTGCATTGTGCTTGTAGCCGTGTGTTCATTGTACTGAAATTGGTTGGACTTGTGGCAATGGGTGCCTAATCCACAATATTGATTTACGTTTCAGACACCAACCAGAGACGAGCACAGACAAGAAGAAGTTACCGCAGGTACCCGAATCCATCCTAAGAAGGCGGCAAGGCAAGTAGTCCGAGCATTATAGGCC